CCCCCCCCTGTGCGCCCGTGTCCCCTATGCACTCCCGTGCCTCCTCTGCGCGCCCGTGCCTCCTCTGTGCGCCCGTGTCCCCTCTGTGCGCCCGTGTCCCCTCTGCGCGCCCGTGCCTCCTCTGCGCTCCCTTTGAGAAATGTCTGGTGGTGCATTACAAGGATGTTGCAAACCAAATGGGCATAACCTTGTGAGGAACTAGTGAGGTTGTCAGGGTATGTTGAGACTTGTAGTTCCTCAACGGGTGCAGAAACTGACTGTGCAATCCTGATGCCCAGAATTTAACACTTTAGCACAGCGGTTCACAACCAGTGGGTTGCGACCCAAAAGTGGGTCGCAACTCAGTGTTGAGGGGGTCGCAGCATCCACTTCTGCTGTGCTAGGTGAGAGGCTCCTCAGCCTCCTCCTAGCTCAGCAGTGTCAGTCAGCGGGAGGACGGCAGAGGCTGTGACTATAAAAGTGCCGCTGTACACACTCCCTGGCCGCTGCAGCGACATCTAGTGGCCGGCAGTGTGTACAGCGGGGCTTTTCTATTCACAGCCGCTGCCGTCCTCCTGCCTCCCATACAATGTGAGCTCTGCAGGAGGCGGGCGTCTAAGCAGTGCTGGGGCTGAGAAAGCTGCATGGAGACAGAGCAGGGGCTGGGGAGGGCTTGTATTCTTGTGAGTGTTGTTCTATTTTTAGTCCCAAGTCCAGCGCCTTACTAATTCTGGAGTCCAGCGCTCTGTTGGGGGTCACCACAAATGTTGGCAAATGTTACCAAGGGGTCCCGGCCCTAGAGAGGTTGAGAACCACTGCTTTAGAACATGGGTAACAACCTCGGCACTCCAGCTGTTGTGGAACTACAAGCCCCATGTGGCACTGCAAGACTAGCCACAGGTATGACTCCCAAAGGCATGATGGGATATGACGTTTCACCGGAGATGGAGTGCCGAGGTTATCTACCCTCTGGCCTTAGAATTCGGCCATATCTGACAGATCCAGAAAATGAGCACAAATGTTCTGGTTTGGCTTTGGACCACCCTGGCAGTATTGTCATGATCACATGTCTGAAGACAAAGGGAAATGGCAGTGTAACAGACCTTCAGAGAACAAGATGAGGTATTTTTTTAAGTGAATCCATTTACACACGGAGTGGGATTTATCAAAACTGGAGCAGACAAAATCTGGAGCAGCTGTGCCTGACAACCAATCAGCTTCTCTCTCTCATTTTCAATTCTTAACTGAACAAAGTGAAGAGAGAAGCTGACTGGTTGCCATTGGCAACTGCTCCAGTTTTGATAAATCACCCCCCCCCCCCCCCCTTGGAGAAGCAACCAATCAGCTCACAAGAAACTGGTCAGCTTAATACTAATGGTGACAATGGACCCAGCCAACCGGTAAGGAGCCGGTGACAACACCAAGCGTTATTGTTATAAGGACATTGCCATGACAATGCAACCAATCATCTCACAAGGTGCCATTTTCTCACATGGGCCATTGTTGGAGAACGGCATTAATAATGAATGAAGGTAACAGGAAGCCTGGTATATGGCAATTCATTCTTTGAAAATCATCTCTTTGTTGCTGTGAGAGGCATCCGTTACATCTTCTGTCACAAAATGCCTCAAAGTGACAAAATCGGATGTTTATTTCATGTTGATGGTTTGGAGCTGCCTGGGAAAGATGGATAGAGGTCCTCCATTACTGTGTGTTAGCCCCAAGACCAACCTTTCACAGGCATCTTCAGCTTCTGATTGGCCGGGCCAATAGACTTGGTTGCCCCATGACCTTCCAAACCCAGGTGACCACAGTATTCAAACAAGGAAAGACCGCCCCCATCTCATCCCACAATGCACCATGGTGCAACAGCAACCGATTGAGAGCCACACTGCACTGCATGTTACCTATTGGAGAGCAGTCCTTAGGCACCACCATTTCCAAAAGCCAACAGCGGGCATCCTACCGATACATTCTGCAGCTGTTGGGTTTTGGGACATCTTGCAACAACCAATTATAAATGCTGCTGGTCCGGAGTGCCAAGTTTACTTGCAAAAGGCTCATTTGTAGGCCTACATATGATGACAAGGATGCTTTAAAGCTGAGCCTGAATTTGACTCGGTATCAGCCTCCTGCAAAAAGCTAAAACTGGGAGAAAGAGAAGCAGCAGAAAGAGCCAAACAGTGCTCATGTGCGAACAAGGAACATGCTCATGGGAGTTGAGAGCATGAGAGTTGGAGCTCATCATCTCCTTTCACTGTTCAGTCACAGGGTGGTGGAAGGACAAGACCTGCCAGTGTTACTTAATAGGAGAACTATGGGGTCAGGGCTTTTCCCCATAGTTCTCCTTAGGGTAACGGGAGGACACAAACTAGCGTCCTCCCGTCACCCTAGGCTCAGTATACCGCGAGCTATAGCTGCTCGCGTTATACTGAGACGCCGCAGCTGAAGCGGATCCCGACAATTGTGCCGGGATCCGCCCAGCTGCGTGACTGACAGCTGGCTCTGCCTATCTAAAGGCAGAGCCAGCTGTACCCGCCCCCTCCCCCGTCCGATCCACCAGTCAGCGCTGGCGGATCGGAGCGGGGAGGGGGGAATCCAGCCCCTCCCCTGTCACGGCAAAGAGCCGTGACAGGATCGAGAGGTGAGCGAACGCCGGTATGTGTTCTCTCACCTCCCGATCTACTGAGCCGACCTGCGGCAGTCTCATTGTAACAGGTCGGCTAGAACTATGAGGTGAGTGAAAAGCACTCACCTCGTAGTTCTCCTTTAATGGAAGAGAAAAATCAGGTCTCATGCCCTGCCAGACAGGGCTGTGCTGTGCGGCAGAGCTGTGTAAGAGCCCATTCACACCAGGGCGATTGCGGATCAGCGCGGTTTCCGCGTGGATCTCAAAAGGGAGGTTTTGGGAGTTAATTGCGCTTGAGCGCAATTAACAACGCCCAAAACCGTGCTGATCAGTGCGGTTCCATTGAAAGCTGTATGGAAACCACACTGATCAGCGCGGCAAATGGGGGGCGGTTCGGATCGTGCGGACCCGTGCCGTCGCATGAATGGTCCCCATAGCAATTTATGGGATCGTTCATGTCAGCGAACCGCCCTGGTGTGAACGGGGTCTAAATCTCAAGACTGGATGAATAGAAACACAAATCCTTTGGCAGGCAGGACAGCTCCTGTATATGCATTTCATCTGGGGGCTGTAAAGGAAACCTGTCACTTCAGAAGTTACCTGTGATCACTGTGGATGTCATTGTTAGAGATAGCGGCATTGTGGAAGTTTAATGGCAAACCACAGCCTTGTGGCATCACATGTCCTGGAGCTGGCACAACTTCGTTAGACGATGGCATCCTCTAGTGTTGGATCGGAACCTCCACCATGTTGCCATAGACATCTATATACAGCACAATAAATGTAGCCAGATGTTAGCGCTTGCAGAAGCCTCCACATTGGAAACTTCATTAAAGTCAACGCTCCCTCTTCAGCCCATTTTCGGTACCCGGGCTGAACGTGACATCGATTTAACATACAACCTTCATAACTGAACGCTGAACTTCCTTGAAGTCAGATAACCCGAGGCATGACCCCTGGATTAAAGAACATGAACCCAGACCTGGAGGCACACACGGGTCCTGTTCTAAAATGCCAATTTGTGCAAATAATATATATCAATGTTCGGTCCTCAGCTGGAGGCAACCTTTGCCAATGTGTCACTTAGAGAAAGTCTCGTCTCGCACGGCGCCGTAAACCAAATCAAAAGGTGCTCTCCAACAGACAATGGCAACCGCAGCCGGTCGGGCAGACTTCCTGCGTGCTGAACCATTCCAACATGTGCGCTGTGTGCCCGCCGTGACCGCAGCTTAGGCAGAAGTTGGAGGAGCCACGAACGGAGACGTGGCAGATGGCGCACTGGAAGGTGAATCCCTTGCAGATGGCGCACTGCGTCCCACGCACTTCGCTGCGGCAGTGGCTGCAATAGACGCCAAATTCTGATGGGGGAAAAAAAAAAAGACGAAGATGTATAGAATGGACAAATCTGAGCTCATAACAATATAACACTCAAATTTCAAAGAGACATTCAACTCCAACATAACAATACAGAAAACCCGGATATGAAGTTTAAGATCTTCAGGTCCAAAACACATGTAAAAGGACCTTTTCATTTAACCCCTTCCTGACCCGAGGTCAATGAATCCCACAATCCCAGATTAAGGACTTCATGTATAAAAGTTCTACCTGGTGTTGTTCACGCGTCCCTAGATGGCGCTGTCGAGTACAGGTAATTCCTACACACATTAGTGCCATCTAGGGGCACTAGTGCCGTGCAGACAGCATCCACCCAGCGTATATATTTTAGACATGAAGGCCTAACTACAGCAGAGTCCGCATGTGAACCTAAAAATAAAAATGAGTTCGATAAACTGCAAAGTGCCTTTCAATCTGTATGCTGCGTGCTTTTATATTTTAATTTTGAAATACGTGAACGAATTATCTGGTGATCCTGACAGTCTCCTTCACTTCAACTTTGATAGGGAACAGCGGGAAGCCGTGCAAAAGCAGGGCAAGCTTGCAGACCCTATGGTCAGCCTGTGACATCACAAGCTAACACGCCCACACTCCACCCCCCTGTACTGATTGACAGCATCTCATGTATGGAGATTCAGTGATGCACTCAGAAGACTCCGCCCCCCACTATTCACCAGTTGTGGATACAGAGCCGAAAAGCGCCCATGTGACCACTTTCCACAAATATAAAAAAAAAAAAAAGGTATTCAGAGACTTTTAATAAAATAAGGGACACAGATAGAAATTAAAAACTTTCTACACTGCAGGGTGCAGGTTAAAGATTCACATATACCTAAACCTGACAAATTGCTTAAATTGCCTACCTCAATCGGTTATAAATGGTTTATTAGGCCATATAAGAACTGCATTTGTTACACTGTTATAAAGATTTGTTTTGCACATTGTAATCATTTTTACACTTTTTTCTGTGCAGTGAGAAGAGGGAGGAAGAGAGGAGCAAGCATAGAGAGAGAGAGAGACAGATAGAGAGAGAGAGAGAGAGAGAGAGAGCAAGGAGAGGGAGAGAGGGAGAGCAAGGAGAGGGAGAGAGCAAGGAGAGGGAGAGAGCAAGGAGAGGGAGAGAGCAAGGAGAGGGAGAGAGAGAGAGCAAGGAGAGGGAGAGAGAGAGAGCAAGGAGAGGGAGAGAGAGAGAGCAAGGAGAGGGAGAGAGAGAGAGCAAGGAGAGGGAGAGAGAGAGAGCAAGGAGAGGGAGAGAGAGAGA